GTAATTCCATCGCACCTAATCCTACTGACACTGCATCGCATATCTAGGGGTGATAGAACATCGGATAGGCCCATCCGATACAAATATCTTGGCAGTGAGGCCAACAGGACTGAGGGTGTAAACACCACCAACAAATTTGAATCATATGGACATGTCCAATTCAACTTTGCTGACTGTGAAATTTATACACAAGGGGTCTACTATATAATTTTACCCTCTTGGGACTTTACACCTTGAAAAGTATGTAAAGTGGGGGTTGTGAAATTCACTTTCCCCATTTTAAAGTGATATAATTATTGGTAAGGAAGTAAAGTGGGGGTTGTAAAAGTTGCCTACCTCATTTTAGAGTGCTCTAGGGTTTGAGTGAGTGAGAGAATTTCATTCATAATTCCAGAGTGTCAATCATGATTGAGTATGTTTTGTGGTTTTGACATCCAATTGTTTGTTTCCAGGTTCATTTGATTACATCTGAGTCTGTTTGGTGGTTATTGGGTCTGGAAAATGGCTTTGAGATAAGATCAAAGGTCTTGGCCTCCAAGCACTTGATATTGAGTCTCATTGATGGTCCTAAGGAGTCAGTCAAGAGGAGTGGGGAAGAGAGATCCAGAAATGAGTCAATGAGTGAGAGGGAGTTCAACTGGCTGTTTTCTGAGTTGGTCTCAAGGCCCAGTTGAAGCAACATGCATTTAAGATATAACCCCACATTAATGTGACCAAATGAGGGGTTTTGTCAAGTTTTGTCTAGGAAATTGTCCTTCCATTAAATTTATGATGTTTGGCTGAACCTCACTTGTCATTCTTGAGGCTCACATATTAGCATTTTTCAAACATCATTGCCAAAGACTACTTCTTTCTTCAAGGCTGCATCTTGTTCCCACCTGAATCTGGTACCCAATAGGTATCAACAAAAGAGTCATAATCACCATGACCTCCTGCTCAACCTTTCAACCCCAAAGGAGCTCCTAAGGAATAGTATCCGTACTGATCATGTAGACAGGGAGACTTTCATAACTACAGGAGTCAACAAACTCACTACAGAACTTCCCCCACATAGTTTCAAAAACAAGAGCTTCGACAGAAGTGAGATTTGAACTCACGCCCTCATAGAGGAGTAGCTACTAGTTCAGATTCGAAACTACCGCCTTAACCACTCGGCCATCCTGTCACAAAGAGCGCCGCGGGCTGTAATTTAGGCAGTGGGAAGGTAATCTATTCAAGGAAAGTAGGAAGTTTATTTCATGATGCGCTGCAACAACATCATCATGAAGTAAGAAATGTGGCAAATCTAACATGCTGGATACTTGAAAAACACCCCTTGAGTGGCGAGGAACGAATGGTATCACCAGATGCGTTTGGCGTCTTCTAAATGCATGTGGATGTTTGTAGGTGAAGTGTAATAGCTTCGCTTTTTTCTCCGCCCGACGTGGACTCTAGGCTCGAGCTTATCGGGTCCGGAGATAAACCTCGAGGATCGATCTGAGCTTGGAATAATATGGGCGAGTTGATTAGCGGGGTTATGTGATGAGTGATGCCCTGTGATACTTCAAGATCTAGAATGTCCGAAATCATAGCATAATGGGCGTTAAGTAAATTGCCGGTAAAAATGCTTAATTGGAATAGACCCCGGTTCATCTGACAGCGTGAGGTGCAATGGACTATCATCTGAGCCACACGCCAACTGAGAGATGAGAAACGTTGGCGTCTTCGCATGGTGGGAGGACATGATGCTTGGTATTTCAAGGGTCGGGATGAGGGGATTTTCTCATCAGCTGAAAAGCTCACAATGCAGCGGAGTGGCCGGTCCGTCCCCTTGTCCAAAAAGTATAACGTTTTGTCATGGCGTGAAGCCTTACTGCGATTGAATTTGTTCGCCTGCGTGGACATCTGAATGAGACTTCTGTACCTCTAATGTATGGTGGATTGAAAGCTCCCGGCGGATTGCAAACTAGAAAGCAAATGCATTGACGCCGAGAAAGAATAATAATAATAATAATAATGAACATCGTTCTACATGCGTTACGTGCTCGCGAGAAGCACTTGTCCGATGGGAGCCTAGGATTCACATTGCAAAAGGTTGGAAAAGTGATTGGTTACCCCTTTGTCGTATTGATCAGACATTTGTTTTGGCAAAACTGATCCGGTGTGTATGCCTAACTCCTGAGTCGTCGGCGTCTCTGGCCAAACCTTTTACTGCACACGTTGCCGATCAATTTGAATAGGATAGCAATGGACGCAATGTTGAGCTTTGGGTGGGAATTCTTTTGACCACCACTGTGGCGCTTGTTGAGATCCAAGAACATAGGAAAAAGGCTCGAACCACAGATTATGTTGCGCTAACTAGATGAAGCATCGCAAGGGGGACACGTGTATCTCTTGGCAACGATGATAAGTCATCATGGGTGGTAAAAGCCGACCCCTAATGTTGTACATAGAGCGTCACGAGTCTCTGGTCAATTTGGGCCCACCTCTGACTCATCCCTCACGCACCTCAGTTAAATGTTCACGGCCTCTTTCAAGAAGAAGCCTTTCAACAACTCGCGGTAGCGCACGAAGGGTGTTGGTGGTACAAGGCTTATTACATGCTAGTGTTACAAAATTGTTCGTCACGGTCCACTGCTGTTCTAGATCATATATACAAGACGACATTGCCAAAGAGCTCAGACGGACATGTTGTGCGTATTTGTCGGCGTATCCTGAGATATTGATGCAGTATTTTCAGGTGGTTGCATTACCTCGAATTGGGCGCTGAGCTCCGGAAAGTTTTGGGCAAGTTGGGCCTTCAGCAACGCGTTATATTCCTGTACATCATAGGCCTCAGCATACATTTATTCAATATTTAATTATTGGAGCGATCTGCTTACGTTGATATTTGATAGGATACCATTTGTATACATGTTCTCATGCACAGCCCTCTCCACAAATGACTTGAGCCAACGATCTGGGTTTGTTCCTTGATCAACGTGCCTGTGACAAGTCCATGAAGTAGAGTGTAGAATCTCCATCAGCCCCTGATCGCGCGGCTGGCGATTAATCATAATTAAATCAATCAAACCATGGGATCTAACGCACTGGATCACTTCTATCGGTATTGGGATTTCGGGCGTAAGATTTGCATTGAGGTCGTATAGCTCAGCCATGAGGTTGATAGATTCATTGCTGATTCGAGCAAACAAATAGAACATCAAAGCTATCAGTTTCAATCCAGTCGATTTTTGATGAGTTAAATAAATATTATACATCTTCTTTCCAACTAAGCCTCCTGAACCAAATGGTTCGCCCTTCCCAGTCCGAGCCCCTTCCCGGGCATTTTCTTGAACGTCACTGGTGCCTAGCAGGAAACGTAAAAAGAGAAAGTAGTTTCGGAAGCTGACAAGGTATATCCAATAAATTGTAAAGATGATCATACAAATTCCAACCTCCAGAAGGGTTTGCAACAACTGCTCGAGCTTGTCTTCGAGTTGTGACCTTTGCTGTTCTTCTGGCGAGAGATACTCGTTTCCTGTTCCATAGGAATCCGCAAGAAATCCCGGAGTTGAGTGTGGGCCATTAACAGGCGAGGTGCTTGTGGGCGACATGTAAAGTGTGAAGGTAGGCGTGCGGGACAAAGATTCGGTAAGTGAAGTGGCGATGGCTCTCGAAGATGTGGTGTGATGATAGCACGGGTGTCATGGGGCGGTCAGACCGAACTGGGTGAATAGGCTTAACTACGTAGAAGCATACTGGGAGACGTATATCGAGTATCACAGCATAACTAGTGCATAGGCAAACAATATGAGGAAGCTTTTTGCCTTGGCCAGTGGTACAGTAAGATATTTTGCACGCTCAAGCTAAAGAAAAAAATGGAGGAGGACCCTGGAAAGCTCCTAGAAAGATCAGTAACCTGAAAATTTGGATTTTGATTACATGTTCCAATCACTATCCCATGGGTTCCAGCAATATGACATGATCAAAGGGATTGAGCAAGTGAGTATGCATGGGGAAGTGATGGCAATATGTACTGTAGTAAAGATCCAGATCTCCAGGATTATGGACACTCTAGGAGATTCCAAGGGTTTTTAGGGAGGCTACAGGAGAGCTAGCTAGCGGAGCACATGATCCTGTTTACTCTAAAGACTCCGAAAAGACCTAAAATAATGTTCAATTTGGCAGAAGCTGGCCATCACTTGCCTGAAGTGCCCCACCAAAACAGGCACATTACAATAGGTGGAAGAATTGTTTGAATCTTATGTTTTCTCAAAGGAAGACCAACTGGTGACAAGACAGATGGTCAGCAAATAAGTCAGTTTGGAGAGTATGCCTACTGTGCTGTCATCCAGAAGGCTGATACATGGGAGGTGGAATTCCCTTTCTGTGCTTAGAAACCAAGGCCAAAGACTCATAAGAGCTTTAAAAGCTTACCCAACTGTAGTTCTGGAGTTATAAACACAGTCTCCAAGGACTCCACTCACAAGGGGGTGTGAGTGAGAAAACTTAAAAAGGGCCACTTTGTGCTGGGTTTTGCTCACCCCTCCATGAGCAGTGATTTTGGACACAGCAAAACCCTGTATCTGGAAGGCAAGATTGGCATATGATAGGTAACAGGTCCTGTTCATCATATAATAGGTTTCCCAAAACAACATGAGAAATATGTCTTATAAATTTGGGGAGTGCAGATGCTTGGATCAAACATTCATGGTTGATATCGATTCTGTGACAGAAAACTCTGATGAGTATCATAACATATTGTCTTCCACACTCAATTATCACATTGTAGTGACTGGTTGATGGTAATTAAGTTTAAACTGAAGTTATGGCTTGCAAGACTTTTTTAGTTCCTGGTAAACAAAAAAAAAAAAAAACAATCAATCACTTTAAATTTTTACTTGTGGAAGTGTTTCTTCCAGTTACTAAATGAACAAAGAAACTATGGAGCCACCTATCACTTTTTCAATTTATGAAACACCCTACAGATGCTATATGCAATCCAGTCATACTGTTGCACATCAAATAAATTTTCCAATATTGTTCATATCACCACATAAAAAAAAGAGCTAAAATGGGTTGCAAAACCCAAAAGTAATGAAGTCCATTTACAAGAATTTGCATTTACATATTATTTCATGTGCCAACTTTCTGTATCACTATGGGAAAAACATTGATGTCTACAGTATAAGTGTCACCCTGACATTTACATGTTTGGTGACTGTACATGTGTGTATGTCAAGGCCAATGTCACAGCAAATGTCAGCCACCATCCTATAACTTTAGCCCCAATCTGAATTTGTCCCGCCTCCTGTCTCTACTTTTGGATCCGCAAAACTTGCCTCTTTTCTAGGATAATGTTCCTTCACTCCCCATTTGGACATTGGTCTCCCAAAGCCACACACACCAAGCAATGCGATGTCTTTATAAGACTCCAATGTAAGCCGTATTTTGTACATTCTTCTCTCCCTTATCACATCAATGCTTTATTGTTCTAATGTTTCTACATACCCATCTTTTTCAACCTGCGATGTCTTCTATCCCAAACCCCACTGCAATTTCCCCTGAAATCCAAGCTGTGATCACTGCAGCTTTGGCTGCTCAAGCCCAAGTATATGAGGGAACGATCTCTTGACTCTAAAGTCATCTCAACAACATGTCTTTCACTGCTACTACACCAGTGAAGCCATCTGCCACATGATTCATAACTCCACCACAAGCTACCAAGGGGAACACTTGCCCTTTCACCAGAGGTGGGTCCGAACGGCTCACTTTGGAGTAGAGGTGGAGCCAAGCGAGGAAGACAGAAACATGATCTGTTGTGATAGAGTCAATGTGATTAGCTTGTGGATCTGTAGCGAAGCAAATAACAGTTTCATGGTACCTTTGATAGAAATATTGATGAAAGGTGGGCTGTCTTCCTCTTCTTCAGTTGAATATTCCTTGGAATGAAACAGTGTGTCTTTTCTTCACCTGATTCGTCCAGCAAAGGTGTAGATCCAGGAGCGTTGGCCAGATCCTGGTCCTTGAGTAAGTGCCTTGACTTATTCCAAGAAGATATCAGCTTTCCTTGTTTGGTGTTGCCATTGGAATCAATGAATGATAGGCCAAAGCATGATGAGCATGTGCAGATGACCAGGGGCTGTGATGGCATGGTGGGGGTTGGGGAGGATGAGTATAAGTGACTGAGGTCGAGGGATTCTT